ACAATTTACATAAAACCTACGAGTAACTCTCGAAGAACGTGAATAGAGCGAATCTAACGTATGCAAAACATCGGATCTAATCGACCCTCGATCGGGAGAAACACGAACATCTTAATAAAAATATATACTCGTATCAATTCCATAATCAAATCTCAAATAAATGAGCAAAAATGCTAAAATTACTAAGCACTTTCAGACTAACGGGCTCGATTATGGGCTTTCGGGTCAAAATTTGGAAAAACAGATCGTAAAATCTGACTCAGAATGTTGAAAAACGTCAAGATGGAAGTTTTCGAAAAAAGTCAACTGTCAACAGTCAGCGGCTAACCTATTCAGTTCGAGTTGGACCGTGTCGAGTCGTGTCAGATTGGTCGGGCAGGCTGGTCGGGTTGGGTCGACCCACTTTCTAGAAACCAACTAGGAGGTGGGACTTCCCCACGCGCAGTGGCGGCGCGTGGGGTGCGTACAGGGCCATTTTAGTACCTAGCAGTTTAACGACCACTGTACTTTTATGGACAAATTACATTATTTATCTCTCAACTATCTTTTCACTCTTATTTTGACACGAAAGTTTAAAAAAATTAATTTGACTACTCAATTTTTAAATTTCTCCTATTTTAATCACTCTAATTTATTTTATTAATAATTTTTATTACATGTCATTTTTATTAATATTTTATTAATATATAATTAAAAATAAAAATTAAATTTAAAAATTAAAGTGATTAAATTATGAGCAATTTGAAAGTTAAGTAATTAAATTAAAAAAATTAAAATTAGAGATTGAAATAAGAGTGAAATATAGTTGAATGATGCATTATGCAATTTATCCATAAAAGAGATACTACGTGCAAATTACCCTGCTTAAATATATAAAAAGGTGTCCAACGTATGTCCGTTTTTTCAGTTTACTGCCTAACATTTTTTTTGTTCCAATTTGGTGTCTAATGTTTCATTCCGTTACTCAAAATGGGTCACCCGTGACGGGCCGTTAGTTTTCTTGGTCAAGTGACACGTGTCATAACTGGTAATTTTAAAAATTATTTAAATTAAAAAAAATAAAATTATATATTGTTAAAAAAGAAAACACAAAAATTTAGAAATAACCTCAAAACTTTGAAAATCTTCATTTTAACCCCTAAGCCGTTCGATCGCCCCTCTTCCAAGCTCGTCTGCTTGGCGACGGTGGCTTACCAAATCAGTTGGGTTTTGTTCGGACAGGATCAACGAGCTCAGCTTCGGTGGCGGTGAGGCTGAAAGGCGACGGTTTCGGTCGGAAATCGCAAAAATCGAACGGTGATTGAGCTTTTCGTCGGACTTTCAAACGCCACTCCACCACGAACGACGACAACTAGAGGCGAGTGGATGATTGGACTATGACCGATTCGAGACGACGCTTCCACTGGGCTAGGCAATGATGACTTCCGAAGAGCGATGGTCGAGGTTGGAGGTAGGCGACCGAATGGTTTCCTTGCGACTAAGCTCGATGGTGATCGATTCGGGTGATTTGAGGGTCAAGTTTAGGTCGCCGATTATTGCTGAGTTCGGTGGGAGTGGCAATGTACACCACCGACGGTCAGAGAAGGGTGGTTCGGTGACGGGTTAAAGGTTAATGGGTTGAAATAAAGGTTTTTAAAGTTGTGGTTATTTCAAAATTTGTGTTTTCTTTTTTTAAAAAATATATAATTTTATTTTTTTAATTTTAAATAAAAAATTTTGAATTGTCATATTGTGACACTTGTCATTTAAAGGATAAAACTAACGGTCTGTCACAGCGTGACCCATTTTGAGTAACGAAAACATTAAATACCAAACTGGAACGAAAAAAATTAGACACTAACCTAAAAAAACAAACACATTGAACACCTTTTGGATATTTAAACCTTAAAATTTTAACTGTGAGGTGTTAATAAAATAAAATAAAACTAAATATTAAGTAATAATTTTAAAAAATTAAAAATTTAAATACTAAAATGAAATAAATTAAAATAAAATACTTTATCATAAAATAAAATACGGTAGATCGAATCATTTTTCAGATTCGAATTAAATGCAGACTTTAAATATGTTCATACATAGGATGCACTTAGTCTTGGTAGTATCGAGTAATAAATGAAGAAAGTTGAAAGCATATGAAGAAAAGTCCCGACCGCCCTTGACCCGACCCAGTGAACCCATTCCGCCGCCGTGTCTCCCGCCGCCGGTCCCATTTTTGCAATGCAAACTGCTCCGTCGGTATCTGGTACAGACTCAGAACAACCGTGGAAATACACAAGCCAAGCCTAGCATTTAATTTTTCTGTTTCCTTTAAACACCTACCTTTTCTAGTCTCATTTAACATTCCCATCTACTCCTTACTTAATTCAACCATGGTCCATACCCTTGTACCTGCACATGGAGTATTAGGGTTCCTTAGGGGAGTTCTGAATGATAAGTTTTTTTGTGCTATTTGGCTTTGGAGGTTAGTATATATTGTCCCTTGTTGATTGAATTACTTTAATTCTCTGCCTTATGTGCATAGCCTTTTCAAAGCATCTTCATTTCTTTCTTCTTTCCATAACCCAGATTTTTTTGCTATGTATAACGTCTTTGATATTTTTTGTGCGTTTAATTGTGAGCAATTCGTTGAAGCTTGATTGGTAAGGGACCAATTTGATAGTTTTGATATTTTTGTTTTGCCTGTTACTAGGATTAAAGAGAGTTTTGTGATGGCGGTAAAGCTTGTGCGTCTGCAATTCGTTCTCTTAGTTGCTTCTTTTGCTGTCCTGCTTGTGGCTTCCGACACTGTAAGATTGTACAATCTTATCATTTGCAAAAATGAAAATATATGCGAGTTGTAGAGTTTATTACCTGTATTCGAATATGAAGGTTCCGTTTTGGTTATCATTTTGGTGTTTCAGGACAATGGATCGGTTGCAGCATTTAATTCTTCTTCCAAGCATGAAGGTAATGAAGGTGCTGGATTTGCACATTTGCTTGTCGAATTCATTAATCTTTGCCGGTAAACATTGTCGTTTTTGTAGATTAAGCTGTTTTATTTCGTTGGGTCATGTAGCAGCAGGATGCCCTTCTGGTTGGGTTATTTCTCCCATTAGAAGTGTGTGCTTTGGATACGATGCAAGTTTCCGGTCATGGGATGAATCAGAGATCCACTGTAAACAATATCATGGACACTTAGCGGCCCTAACATCGAATGAAGAACTAAGCTTTGCACAACATCTGTGTGGCCAAATTGTTGATGGTTGCTGGGTTGGAGGAAGAGTTAGCAATTCGACGGTTGGTTCTGGTTGGAAATGGTCTGATAATACATTGCTCTGGAATGAATCAGCTCTTAGATTACCTGCACAATCAGTTTGCAACAAATCTTCATGCGATGTCAACAACTCATTTGACTTGTGTACATTGGTGAAGAATGGATCGGAACCTCTTGTGAGTGAGAGATGCAATGCTTCTCATGCTTTTCTGTGCATGGTTGATATTGGTAAAGATATATGGTTATTTTAGATTTTCCTGAGTAGTTGCTCGACTACGGTCTGTTCACCGAATTAAGTTGTTATATCGATCTTTCCTTTCTACTATACATATGACCTTTATTTGCCGTTATTGAGATTATATTTTTCGGATTGCAGGGGGGAAATGTCACTACATTCATTGCCATAAGGAATATCTCATTATCCTAGCCATTGTTAGCGGGTTGGTTCTCTGCACAACATTTGCTGTTGTTGTTTGGTTGCTTGCATATAAGCGGAGTAAGAGGCGTAGACGATCTAAGAAACTATCTAATCCTGCCACTTCTGCATTAGTTCCCCCCTCATGGAAAATCTTCACCAGTGATGAATTGAGGTCGATCACGAAAAATTTCAGTGAAGGAAATAGGCTTCACGGGGATGCGAAGACGGGTGGCACATACAGCGGCCTTCTACCTGATGGATCAAAGGTAGCAGTTAAGAGGTTGAAGAGATCTAATTTTCAGAGGAAAAAGGAGTTCTACTCCGAAATTGGTAGGGTCGCTCGACTTCATCATCCAAATTTAGTTGCGGTGAAGGATGCTGCTATGATCATGGCAACCGCTACATTGTGTACGAGTATATGGTAAATGGACCATTGGATAGATGGCTATACCACATGCCAAGGGGTGGTAGGAGCTTGGATTGGACCATGAGGATCAAAATTGCTACAACTCTTGCCCAGGGAATTGCGTGAGTATAAACATTAGATCTTTCTTCGGTTAAGGACTGTAATCGATACTTTCGGCATCTTTATTGCTGCTTTTGCTTATTGATTATTCTATTTTTACCTGGTACTAAATGTCTAACATGTTATATTTTGAAACAGGTTACTGCATGACAAGGTAAAGCCACATGTGGTGCACCGGGATATACGTGCGAGTAACGTACTACTCGATGAAGAGTTTGGAGCTCATCTGATGGGGGTTGGTCTTTCAAAGATTGTTCCACTAGAGGTAATGCATGAGAGGACTGTGATGGCCGGTGGAACCTATGGATACCTTGCCCCTGAGTTTGTTTATAGGAATGAGTTCACAACAAAGAGTGATGTGTATAGCTTCGGAGTGTTACTGCTTGAAATTGTTAGTGGGCGTAGGCCGGCTCAGCAAGTTGATTCAGTCGGTTGGCAGAGCATATTCGAATGGGCAACACCTTTAGTGCAGGCACATCGATATCCAGAGCTCTTGGATCCTCTCATATCTTCATCAACTTCTGATATCCCAGAAGCTGGCGATATTCAGAAGGTGGTGGACCTCATGTATGCTTGCACGCAAAACGTCCCTTCTATGCGGCCAAGAATGTCTCATGTTGTTCATCAATTGCAGCAGTTGGCTCAGCCAGCCGTCGCAAAGTAACTTAATTTTATTTCCAGCTCCGGGGCTTTTTGCCGGAGCTTAATTTTCTTAGGAATAGTTTAGAGCTACCTTAAGTAAAACTAATTCCAAGAGAAGACATGTATTTTGTGCTGTTGAAAATGGTTAAAGAAGATGTCAATGTTACAAACGATAATTGTTTCTGTATGGCATCTAATCTACTAGTTATGTATCAATCAACATAAATAAGAATTCATGTGCAAAACCCCTGATGCCATTAGAAACACTCACAAATCCCTCTTGTTTACTTAGTTGCCCAACTAACCTTGCTATGAAGGGTAAATTAAATCACCAAGCTTATTTTGGGGCTATCGGTCACATATTCTCCTTTGCTCCAACATCTTTTCATAAAAGATGGATGTGTCTAGTACCAGCAGTCTGCGACATCGTTCAGTTGTTGTAACTGCGGCGTAGCACTCGGGGGTCCTGATGTTTTAGGATATCCTTGAACCGGTCTTTTCCCGGTTTTGCTATTTCAACTATATCCTGCCATCAAATACCTGAAACATAAACCCATTATTAAAATCTAACTAGAAATACTGCCTGCAGATCAAAGTTATATAACTTAGTGAAATAAGAGTTGTAAACAGTGGTAAAATTAACAGTAAAAGAACCTTTTCATAAGTAAAGGAACCTTTTCATCATGTAAAGAGAACAAAATCTCTGTAATTATGCTTCACTCTAAGGGATGAGAGAAGGCAGGTGTAATCTACAAATAGTACTCCATATGTCTACTTTTATGAAAGAAAGAAAGAAAGAAAGAAGACAACATAAAACCTGTTGATCCATGTTCTCTATGGCAATCATAGCCTCATCCTGAGAAGTGTATTGAATAAATGCATATCCTTTTGATCTATTTGTGAATTCATCCTTGACAAGTAATGTTATTGATAGAAGTGCAGTGCAGTTATTAGACTTCGAAGCTCACACAAGATCGAAGATGAAACATATTATCCATTAATTCCATTAAACTATGAGAAATGTCCCAATCACCTTCAGCTATTTCGCCAAAATTGGCAAATTCCTTCTGCAAACGGCTTTCTTTGGTAGAATATGGCAAATCTGCAGCAAATACACCCAAAAGATGCCAGGACAAAAGAATACAACTCAAAAATACAAGAGCAAAGAATATCTGATTGAACTAATCTGTTTATCTTCTTGTAATAGCATCAAATTAATCTGATTCAACTGAAACGAAGCTAGGAATTGATGATTTTGTTTCGATTTTTCCTCTTAATAATGGATTCCATCATCACAAACAAATCCATACTAAGCTCTTTCCAGTTTTGGTTACATACATAGTGAAAATAATAGTAAAATCACAATATTCCCAACCATCTTTCTATTGCAAACCTGCATTCTTTATTGGCAAACTACTCTTAATTTGCATATACTTATATGAAAAGTTTCATGCAAGGAAAAAGAAGGATCTCCACTAGGCCGTAAATGAGCCGAATTGAGCTCGAGTATTGCTAAGATTGACTCAAAAGCTGGCGAGCTTAAAATTATCAAGCTCAACTCGAACTCGAAAAAAAAACTGAAGCTTGAAGAAACTTAAACTCGAAAGATTCTCAAACCTAACTCGATTAAAGCTCAAACTTGAGCTCGAACATAAACCTTAAGTACATGAAAATCTTATATTGTAATTTTTTTAAAAAAATAACATATAAATGTTAACATTATTAATAATATTAAAAAATAAAAATATAATATATATAATATTTTTTTGAGTTGGTTGCTAACTTTTCTAGTCGGATATTAAGTAGTCTGCTCTGACTAGCTAAGAATTCGAGTTGAGTTCATATTCAATTAACCGAACTTACACCAAGTTAAACTCGAGTAACTTATAATCCTCTCCTCTCATTTAACCCTAATATCCTCATCGAAGCCAATTCTCTTGCTTATCAAGGATGTATTCGTTTCTCCACAAAAACCGATTTCCGATAGTGCGAAATCAGCCTGTAGAGCTATTCTTATTCCTAAATTTTTGCCTAGATTTTATCATCAGAGGAACAAAAACAATCAATATTCATGATAATAGTGAAAAAGGTATATCCTGATGGCATATAATTAAAAGGAAAAGCTATTTGACAGGAATTACTAAATATGGGGAAAAGAACGTGAAAATTACAAGTAACAAAACAGTAATTGTAAACAAAGTGAGGGGGTTTACTCGTAACGAAGATTCTGCTTGCAAGAGGATAGTCAAAGAGTGATGCTCTTAGGCCGAGGTTGAAGCTTCTATGTGTTCGACGATTTGCCGAAATGGGAGAAGGGAAAGAGAGGGTTGGGTGTACCGCCCACATCGAATTGCACTTCGTGTCTTCGTCCAATTCAGATACTCGCAGGGAAGGCAAACTGGGAACGACGCCTGATAATCTGTCGAGTATAAAACGTTGCGTTTTCACACAACTCAGAATCTATTCTCGTTTAATAAATTAAAGGGTAAACAACAATAGTAGTCATAATATAAGATAGGTTATATTATTTTGACCATCGAACTATAAAATTTATCAATCAAATCACTAACACTAACAGAAATTATGACGTAAGAGTTTAAAGAAATGGTCTAATTGTATATTTAATTCTTATAACTTATTCATTCTATTAATTTTAGGGTAAATTATTCCATTAACCACTCAATTATATAGCCCTTTTACTTTTACCACTGATCTTTTAATTTTATCAATCAGATCACCTAACTATTTAATTTGTTCAATCAGATCACTTGCCGTTAAAAATGACTAAATGTCGACGTGACAGTTAAAAATGGCACAATTAAACATTTCCTTAATATTTATATATTCTATCAATTTAGTCCTAATTTAAATTTAATTTAATAAATTAATCATTCAATAAGAAACGACATGTGTTAATGTATTGAAAGTTTTATATGAATTTTGATTTTATTAATTAATGATTTTTCTATCCAATCAGGTGATGACACATGTCACCACACAAGATTAAAGTGAAAATAAAGAGACAACTTTGCACTCCAGAAGAATCAATTCAACGTTAAGGGCAGCAAGGAACAACTAAGCACCTTAACCACTGAGCCAAGGTTTCCAATGGTTTAGAATATGCAACAAATAATATTTGTGCTTTAAAGCTTGTTAATGATAAACAAGTAGAAAAATATAGAATTAGAACCTACACAAATTATAAAATAAAATATCACATAACTAATTAAACAAATCTAATGTTTATTTTTATAATTATTTTCATTTTTAAATTAAAATTTAAATAAATGTCACGTAATAATTAATAAATATATATTTTAAATTGTAATTGATGAAATATCTATTATAAAAATAAATTAAAATTGTTTAAATTCAATTTAAAATATAAAAAAATAAAAAAATTAGATTTGTTTAGTTATTTATGTGATATTTTATTTTAATTTGTAGGTTCTAATTCTATTTCTTTTATTTCTACTTGTTTTATCATTAACCTTTTAAATCGCAAATACTATTTGTTGCATATTCTAAAACATTGGGAACCTTTGGTCGAGTGGTTTAGGTGATTGAATAATTAATTTATAAAATTAAATTTAAATTATGACCAAATTTATAGAATATATAATATTAAGGACTAAATATTGAAGCATGCTAATTTTTTAAATGTCAGGTCGGCATTTCCATCAATTGTTAACAATAAGAGGTTTGATTGAACATAATTAAATAATTAAGTGGTATGATTGATAAAATTAAAAGATCGGTAGTAAATGTAAAAGGGATACATAGTTGAGTGATGAATGCTATAGTATATAAATATTAAGGACTAAATATGAAGCATGCTAATTTTTTAAATGTCAGGTCGGCATTTCCATCAATTGTTAACAATAAGAGGTTTGATTGAACATAATTAAATAATTAAGTGGTATGATTGATAAAATTAAAAGATCGGTAGTAAGTAAAAGGGATACATAGTTGAGTGATGAATGCTATAGTTTTGTCATTAATATTAGACGTAGAATATGATGTGATAATCAGTAGAATGGGATGTGATAATCAATAAAAATTGTATAATTACATATTTAGCTCTCATTACTTATACATATCACCATTGATTAAAAAAGGACTATATAATTATATTAATTTTATTAACTATCGTTAACTATTCTCTCAAAGGTTAATGACATATGATTCGATTAATATTATTAATTATTTAAATAATGTAATTGATTGAATTAAAAAATTAATGATTAGATTGACCTTTTATCATATTTAAGTGGTCATAGATGTAGTTTACCCAAAAGTATAATAATTCGTTGAAGCCCTAAAACTAAAACCCCTAAGCGATGGAACACTTCGATTCCAAAACCCCAAAGTGCTTCTCATCTTCTCCATTCTGCACTCATCACCACCGCAAACGCCCAACAGGAAGCCGTATTTACAGAACAACACAAAATAAAAAAAATAAAAAAACAAGTAAATAGGAATCCGATGAATACAACGAAAGGGGCTTTGCGAGCTCTCACGTATCTTGCTTCTCTCCACACTCCCGTAGTCCACAGCATCCACCGCCACCATCAGCAGCACCGCCAGCATCTTCTATTTGTTCGTTTTCTTTCAGCCCAATCCCAGAACGCGAATATGATTGCGATGACTCCCACCTCAACAACAGCTCCGATTCTGTCTTCGACAGTGCCCAATTCTCTATCCCGACTCGCCAAAAAGTACTCCCGAACAACCGACATGGGATGTCCAACATAGAAAACGAATAGAGCGTGAATTATTCAAAAAAGATCTCCAAGACCGCTACTTTAAAGTAGAGGACGAGGAAGAGGAGAGGAGAAGAAGGGTACTCGCTAAGGCTTTGCTCGAGGCAGCTTTGGAGGGACCGGACGAGGACGCCGAACAAGACAAAGAGGTCAACGAAGAGACCAGAAATCTCTCTCCGTTGGGATTATTGGCGCCCCTAATGCCGGGAAGTCGGCCCTTACTAATTTTATGGTTTGTTCATTAGCCCCATTTGTTTTAGAGATAGCTCATTAATTCATATTGGAACTAATTAAACGTCTGATGTATTTCCAAAAGGTTGGGATTAAGGTTGCTGCTGTGTCACGGAAAACAAACACAACTACTCATGAAGTGTTGGGGTCATGACCAAAGGGGATACCCAAATTGTATGTTTCTTTTTCATTTATTTCTATTAGTATGCTTTAGCTACTTTTTGGGGTTGATAAACCTCTAATCTTTACTTTATTAATTCAGTTTCCCTTACAAGTGTTTTCACTTCTCTGATTACTCATTTGTGACATACAATACACACTTTTTACTATAAGACAGAATAATATTTGTACAATTTGTTTACGTTTAAGAATTTTACAGGTTTCATATCTTGTTATTGAGACTTACTGATACTAAGTTTGGAATTAGATTTCAAAACTTGGATTGTGAGAATTCCCTGTTTACTTTTCTGGCCTCCTGGGAGTTCATGTGTGGGGAACCCATTATTGTTGTAATGCTCTTTAGGAATATCATTCTACTAATTTCAAGCATGCATTATGCAGTGCTTTTTTGACACCCCCGGACTGATGTTAGATAGCAGTGGACATCTTCACAAAAATATGAAGTTTCGTGTCGAGAGTGCCTGGAGTTCAGTTAATCTCTATGATGTACTCATAGTTATTTTTGATGTCAATAGGCATCTTACAAGGTTAGTGGTCCGATACACAGCTGATATTTTTCATCTGTATCTACTTTTATATTAAATTTTTGTTGTACACCTTATTGTTGATGTGATTCTGAATTGGTTTATCATTGATTATCTCTTTTATCGTTCAACATATATTTTTGTCTATTTAGCTTGATTCCAAGATTTCTTAGCTTCCCTTCTTCCATTTATTCCTCCTGCTTACTATGCTTCATCTG